AAGCAGGAGTTGAGACCTCTGTGCTCAGGACAAGCCGTCTCTGGCACACACATTCTGGGCCTTGCTCGTGCTTGCGTTCTAGCATCTGTCACAGTGTATTGAAAATCACATGTTAAGACGTGTCTCTTCCCTCCTGCACGGCAAGCCGCATAGGTCAGGAGGAATCACGTCTTACTCCCTGTTCGACGAGGTGCACTCACACCTCTGCGTCGGACCTGATCTCAGCAGGCCGAACTGCGGGGTGGAAATGCTCACGCGTGTCCTGTCTAGATGCTGTCAGGTGCTTTATTCTCTTCAGATGATTTAAGACAGAGTGAGGAGGTAGGAAAGACTTGATTTAATTTAGTTTTCTCCCTCTACTTAACCTTGTTTTTCACCAAAAAAAGAAAAAAAGAAAAAAACCCACACACACTTAATTAACACCCAAAACAAAGCTGTGCCTCCCTGAAATAATTATGCTGAATAATCATTTTCTGTTCGAAGTGCTTGTTTTTAACCCCTTGCAGTGAGCAAACATTTCATCCAAGGGACAGAGGACAGCGTGGCTTGTCTTATTTATGCAGTTTTGGAATGTTTTAATGTAAATAACAGGAAAAAATGCCAGTCTTTTAACTACACATGCAGGCTTCTTTAGATTCATGTAATATTTATTTGTTACTAGTTGGCAGAAAAACAAAAATGTGAATGTAAAGTAAAATGACTTTCCATTCTGAATTTTGTTTCAGGAGCTCTTTCCTAAGTTCTTATGAATAAAACTACACTTGGTGGTGCTTTTATAATCCTTTAAAATCCCTAAATCCTTTAAAAGAAAGTTGACCCAAATGTTTAACAAGGGCTTTATTTACAGAATGAACATTTCCGACTCTCTTAGAGTGTCATTTTCTAGCTACTTAATAAGAACAGTATTCACGTAAGCTTGCTGCAGAGACCTCGTACTATGCTGTGCATTTGTTAGTACATGAATTCGAAAGACACTTGGTTGTGAAAGAAGTGATTTACTTGAAAGTTGAACTTTAGTATAAACTCAAGTAGGTCCACAGAAAAGCAGTTCAATAACATTGCATGCCTGAACTGGGCCTCTTTAGTACTGAAAGTTCCTATTTGTTGTGATCCCTAATGTAAAGAGGAAATAAAACCAAATCTTAAAGCCTATGGAATTTATTCCAGTAAAATGTTTTTCAGATTCTTGTTTTTGCTTTGGTTAATTTTGATGGACTTTATCTGCTTATCTGCAGTCAGCAATGACGTAGATATTATTGCTGCGACTAAACTAAAAAAAGGTTTTTGTTACAAGTACCCAGATCGTATCAGTGGGAATGAATTCCACTGGCCTCAGCGGATCTGCCCTAGAAGGGTCCGTGTATTTGTAAATATTGTAACTGGAAGTGTATGTTCTCCTAGAGACTGAAGTTGACCTTGAGACATTTTTCACTCAGGTTTGCTTCTTTTAGGGGGTAGTATTGGCATCCCCCTTTATTTTTATGTATCTCAGTAATCTGCTAGCTTCTGCAGACCTGTCTCGGCCCTTGGTTTGTTCCCAGTCGTGTCCTCTCCCTTTCTGGAAGCCGGAGCGCTGGCTTCCCCTGCACCTCTGACATCATCCTTGCCTGCCTGCCTTCCTGCTTCTCTGCCCGAAGTGTTGGTGTATCCTGAGGTCTCATCCTTCCTCCCTTTCTTTACTTTCCCTTTTTCTCCTGCCAAGGTGTTGACATCTGAATCTAGAACTCCTGTCACAGGGGTCAGGCCCATTTGCCCATCTGCCCACTATTTGCCTTTACTTTCAAGTCATCCTGCTCTTCCTCCTCATGTGCAAAAGCAGAACTCATGGTAGTATCTCCCCCCAACTTACTTCTTTTCTGAATTTCTGACTTGGGCTAAAAGCACAACTGTCTGCCAAGAAGTCTAAGCCAGAGCTTTGCAAGTCCTGTGCAGTCTTCAGTACCCTCCTGTCCTCCTTCTAGGTGATCACCACGTCCTTTGGATTCTGTCTTCCAGATTCTATTTATTTATTTATTTATTTAAAATTTTTAATTTATTTTAGAGAGGGGGGAATGGAAGGAGAAAGAGAGGGAGAGAAACATCAATGTGTGGTTGCCTTTCACATGCCCTTTACTGGGGCCCTGGCCTGCAACCCAGGCATGTGCCCTGATGGGGAATCAACCTGCAACCCTCTGGTTTGCAGGCCCATGCTCAATCCACTGAGCTACCCCACCCAGGTGTCTTCCAGATTCTTTTATTCATCCTTTCTCTCCATCTTCAGTGCTGACCTTTAGCTCAGCTCCCAGCAGGCCCCATGCCAATTTTTCAGTGCTCCATTCCCTTCCCAAGCAGGGCTGGCTGGCATCCATCCCTCATTTCTGAATCCCTGCCTCCTGGCATTGAGTCATACCTGGAAAAATGTTTGGAAATAACTGAAGTGAATGATCCAGTTCTCTCATGTAACAAGTAACAGTATAGGTGAGCCCAGGACAGAGAATGGGGAATTCAGGACTTCCTCCCCAGGGGCCATTATGCCCTCCTCTTCCAGAAAGCAGTGCCCAGGTCTGTTCTGGTAACAGAACTAAACAATCAGGAGAGGTTTACACAATTACACACATTTGGAGCCCATTCTTTATTTAAACAGTCTGCTAGTATGCTTGAATGATTTATAGTAATCTTTAAACATTAGGTTTTTAACTGTCTATGATTTATTGTTGAAACTATGTTTGGCAATATGCCTTCAAATATTCTGAAATTGTTATATTCCTCTGGTCAGGATCCCAGTGATGTTTTTAACCCCGATGGTCTCCTTTATACCCACATCGCACGTAACTCCCCAGAGCAGGGAGAGGCAGGCACTGACTGACCTTTGACGGCAACAGGTCATCATTTTAAGACCCAGATGAAAGTATGGAACCACCAATGTTGGTGGTTGGAAAAGCGACCACAGCTCAAGCTGACCGAGGTACAGTGCACTCTTTGTGCCTCTTCTGACCTTGCGATGCAGGGACCCAGGTCCATCCCCTGCTTTGTGTCTTACTTGAGTCTGTGCCATTTATTACTAAGTCACCGTAAGTGCCTGTGACTTCACATATTTCCTCCTGCCTTTGGTATGTAGTGAAAGACACGGTTACTTGCTTCAGATGCAGTGGGTGGCCCCGTGTACAGAAATGTCAGTTATTTTAACAAACCTCGAAAGACTGGGTAACCTTTGAGTTTTCTGTTCAAAGAGTGGTTAATCATTGGGAAGACTCACATGACTCCTGGTAAAATAATTTCACACGCTGTGCAAGGTTCCTTACTTGCATAAATTGGCTATTTTTCTTTGAAAAACAGCATTATTCTTTACCTCATAGGAACAACTTTTAACTGAAAAATCTTAAGCATTTCTCTTTTTTTGTCAAAGAGAGAAACAGAGGCTGTTGTTGCCAACATCCCGGGGTGACTTGTCGGCAAAGGTGTGAATGAAACCTAGACTTCCAACCTCTTTCTTCTCCCTTTCCCGTCTTTTTTCATACTGATGAGCACTTTTTAGGCCTCCATGTGATGTCTAATTATTTGGCAGCAGAGGAACGAGCTATGCTACAGCATCAGCAAGTAGTTCAGATGGATGCTTAATGTCTGTTGACGTTTCTCCTTATTTAGTGTCATTTAGGTTTTATGCTACAGTAATCAATTTTTAAAATATAAAATATCCCTAAAGGTATTTTGACTCTTTATGTGATACAATACCTTGAAAGGATGTCTCATAACCTTCTATGGCAGAGATGTGCTCGATATAAAATCACAGAGAGAAGAATCATTTGAGTTATTGGGTCTTCAGGGATTATGTCGTGAACCCAGAACATAAGTATAATGTATTAAAAACACCCCCCTTTACTGTATATATTGATCTTTGACCTGAGTTGAAAAGGTTTCTTTTTTTTCCTTCCCTGTAATGTTAAAAAGGCATTGGGCCTATGGGTATTGGGCTTTAAATGGAATTTCCTTACATGGGACAAAGAAAAAAAATAGCTCTGGGTGTTAGGTCCTGACAGTAACTGTGCACTTCCCTATGAAGACTGAATCCATGCTGGTCTCGTGTTAGTGCCGTGGCTGTAGGTACCTCATCCAGATGATGGCGCAGACGCTCCTCACTGGGTGACAGACTCACCTTCCTGTCTGCTGCTGGAGGGATCTTGTCCTAAGCCGCTGGTGAGAGGGTGGGGCAGTCGGGATGACCGCAGCACAGGAGAGCGTTCTGTTCATTCTCTTGATTGTGACTTTACATCGAACCCAAAGGCTTTGGAGGCTCCTTGGGTGGAAGCCCCAGTGTGTTGCTATAATAATGACACCGCTGTGGTTGCTTACTCTTTGATTAAAACCTCCAAGCTTTGCAGTTAATACTATTCAACTATTAGGAAATATAGGACTCCGCATTGAAGAAAATAATGACGTTTGCGTCTTATAAGATTGTTTCAGTCTTGTCTTGTCATTCTCCTCCTAACCATTTATTGTGGGAGACTTTCCAAGGTACACTGCCGTGAAATCTAGAGTAACTGCACAGTATTTTGGTGAGCCACCTTGCAGACAAAACTCTCTGGGAGGTGACACATTCTCCAGAGAGGACCTTTGGTTTTGGAGTGGGACCAGCCTGCATTCAAGGCTTGCCACGTTGGTTGGGTGTCTGTGGGGCAGTTGACAACCTTGTGGGGTGTAGTGGGCATGTGAATCCTCTAGCTCAGCCCCTTGTCTGTGAGAGGTGCTTAATATATATGGCTGTTCCTCCCTCCTCTCTGCAACTTGTGTATTTCTCTGCCCTCTGGGAGGGCAGATTTCTTTTTCTAGAAGTCCGGTAAGCTGACAGTGAGACAAATGCCAGAGTAGGAACACGCAGCGTCCCTGTAGAGCCCTCCTTTGGCTGGTACCCTGTGACAGAGTGTGCGGTGGGGCCGGGGGAGAGCGTGGTTTTGGCTCACTGTGTGCGTGAGTACCGACTACTGCGTGCTCCAAGGTAACACTCCGTTGTCCTCTCCCTGCAGGTGCCTGAGATCATCAGCTCCATCCGCCAGGCTGGGAAGATTGCCCGCCAGGAGGAGCTCCATTGCCCGTCGGAGTTTGATGACACGTTCGCCAAGAAGTTCGAGGTGCTCTTCTGTGGCCGGGTGACCGTGGCGCACAAGAAGGCCCCGCCAGCCCTGATCGACGAGTGCATTGAGAAGTTCAATCACATCAGCTGCAGCAGGAAGGCCGAATGTGACTCGGCCTCCCGGAATTCCGAGACCGCCAGCCCGGCCGGGGGTTTTTCCTTCACGGACAAGGTGCGATCTGTGCTGCAGCCGGCGGGGAGCGCGGAGCAGAGCCGCTGGCCCATGCGCAAATCCTTCTCGCAGCCGGGCCTGCGCTCCATGGCCTATAAGAGGGAATTTCAAGATGGAAGCCTTCGAAGCCACAGTTTCTTCAGCTCTTTTGAGGAAGGCGACATTGAGAACCACCTCATCAGTGGACACAATATTGTGCAGCCCACAGATATCGAGGAAAATCGAACTATGCTCTTTACGGTAAAATATCCCCAAGCCTCGTGCTCATTCCCAGTCTGAGATAACTAACTATTCAAAAGAAAATCAACTTTGTTGAGCAAAGATGCTTAGTCAGTCGCTTTGGGATTTATGAGTGATGCCATATATTTTTATACTGAATAATTCTTTTCTCAGGATAAAATCCCTGCTTTTGTCCTAAGCCTTTACAATCGTCAAGGGGAAAGATGAAGAGAATCCATTTCCTTGTGTAATTTTTACCTCCCTGCACCGTGGTTGCGAAGATAGCTCTTCAGGGTGGAAAGAATGTAGTTAGTATGTGTAAAAGAGGCCCCAAAGGGATTTTTAAAAATTTATATTAATTTCAAGTAATCTATTTCGACAAACTCTTTTTGGGAAATACTCCTTCCTTACTGTTTTTATTAATTTTTAAAGCATTTACCCTTTGTTAGTAAGGATCATTGGAATTGGAGATATTGTGATTTTTGAAATTTATACCCAAACTGAAATATTAGTTTAGCCAACTGCCTATTCATTTTTTCTCCTGCAAGTTTTGTAAACTGAACAGGGATCCAGTGTCCGAAGAGGGATGGACAGGGAGGCTGACTCTGGCAGTTGGGGTGCCTGGGTCCCGTGCTGGCCTGGACTCTCCTGCTTGGGCTCGGCCCCCATGGGCGCCCCCCCCCCCACCCCACCCCCGGTCTGCAGTGATGGGCTTGGGGCTCTCCCGGCAGCGAGCTGGCTTCTGAAGGTGCAGAGAACGAACTGTGCTTGATCCTCCTTCTCTGTGTTTTCTTTGGCTGAAGGCTGACAAACATCCCAGAGAAAGCAACATATCTTCAATGTCATATCTCACTTTTGTGCCCCACTCAGGGCAGTGGGATGGCTGAGGGATAAGGAAGCAGGCTACTTAGGTTAGTGCTTACGGCTGCGTGCAGGTTTAAGATCAAGAGAGTGAGTCAGGGTAAAACGGGCTGATTTCTTCCTCTTTTTGTCATAGACCTAGTCAGCCTTCTGCTTTAATCTATATTTTTATTTTATTTTTTTAAAGATTTTATTTTATTTATTTTTAGAGAGGGAAGGTAGGGAGAAAGAGAGAGAGAGAGAAACATCAATGTGGGGTTGCTGGGGGTCATGGCCTGCAACCCAGGCATGTGCCCTGACTAGGAATCGAACCTGTGATACTTGGTTCACAGCCTGCACTCAATCCACTGAGCTACGCCAGCCAGGGCTAATCTATATTTTTAAAAAATCCCTCCTGGGTGTCATTAGGAAAGCTGCTTGGTGCATTTATTTTCAAGTATTTATCGTGTGGCTGCTGCGTACAGGGTCCCTTGCAATAGAAATACACTAGAAATACAGCAGTGAACGAGACATGTGGCCTCTGCCCATGTGGAATTTAGATTCCCATAAGAGAGACCCATAGCTGATTTCAAGTAATTATCTCACTGCCATTGTCATAAATGCTGCAAAGTAGAGGATGCCTCAAGAGCATCGCTGGAATCAGGGAAGACTTCTTTGAGGAAATGATTCTCACTGAGCGGAGAGTTCAGAGTAGACAACAAGAAGAGTTTCCTGGGTTCAGGAAGCAGAGGAGAGAAGGCCCTGGGGGCGGGGCAGAGCACAGGTAACAGGTGGCTGTTGCCGCTCAGTCCTGTAAGGAGGTCTGTTACGCTGACCCACATCAGTAAGACAGCGCTGACTTATGCTAACAGGCTAACTTTCGAAACTCAGGCAAGTAGTACAGGGATACCTAACACAGTGGACTCCACAAATGGCAGGGTTATTTTAACAACAGTGTAAAAAGACTTTTCAGTAAAAAAACCATTAGAAAAGTGGGAAGGGTTTTGTTTTAAGATTTTATTTATTTTATTTTTAGAGAGGGAAGGTAGGGAGAAAGAGAGAGAGAGAAACATCAATATGCGGTTGTTGGGGGTCATGGCCTGCAACCCAGGCATGTACCCTGGCTGGGAATCGAACCTGCGACACTTTGGTTCGCAGCCTGCGCTCAATCCACTGAGCTACGCCAGCCAGGGCTGAAAAGTGGGAAGTTGTAAAAGAGAGCTTCTGTTTTCTGGAAGACTCCTCTCGGGAGGGGAGCTGAGGCTTGCTGCTGACCTTTGGTCCCTCCATCCCCAAGAAGGCCTCCATCTCATGTAGGGCCGTGCACTGAGTCGTCCTGTGCTGCCCAAATCCGTAGGATGAATTACACCTTCGAAGTAATTTTTCTGCAGTGAGACAGACAGGATTTTCTAGGACTTGCCCCTTCTATTCTTTATTTTCATAGGTCATGAAATGAGAACGTTTGTGTGATAAATCTGACTTCAGTTTTCATAAGAAGCCGGTTGCTTTTTTTGTTTGTCTTTTAAGATTGGTCAATCTGACGTTTACCTCATCAGCCCTGACACCAAAAAAATAGCGTTGGAGAGAAATTTTAAGGAGATTTCCTTTTGTTCTCAGGTGAGTGGAGACCAGTTGTTGGCTCAACTGCAGCTGAATTTTCAGTGAATCATTTTAATACCTGTCCTCCGACAGCAGTGCTAATGGTCACAAGATGTGTGCGTTCTGAGTACTTGATTTGTGTTCCTGCTTGTCTTTTTTTCTTTGCTTTGGTGTATTAAGGCAAAATATAAATATAATTGAGATTAAGAATTTTGTTTTTAGAAACAATAACCTAGAAAAAATAGGTCTGTTTTTTATTTTTTTACATTATTGGTGGTAATGTTTCCCACTGATGATTTCCAGGTGTATATGTGTACATCTCTGTGGGTGTTTTACATACATATTTGTATATACACATATATATGTATTTTAAAGTAGATACTTATTTCTCCTCTACAAAAATTCATAACTTTTTTGGGTACCAATCGCCATTGTTTCTTTTTCCTTAAAATATAATGGAGAGCCCGTGCTCTCAGGAGACGCCGACGTATTAGCATCTGTGGGCGGTGTCTTGTCTGTATGAAGGGGTCTCTTCGAGGGCACTTTCAAAACAAGTTGAGCTGTTGATACTTACTAAAAAGAACTCTTAAGAAACTATGACAGAGGCCTGGCCTTAATGTCTTACTTTCAAAAGCTTCTCTATTCTTTGTGATTATAGTTTTTGACTCATTCTTCATACCGGTTAACTTCAGTATTTACCCATTTATTTCAGAAGTACACGTTTTACATCTTTTCTTTTCACCTTCATGTCTGTGTATGTCTGCGTGAGTGTATATGCGTGTGCACGTATGTGTGTAAAATTGAGTTTCTTCGTTAACCTCTGTCTTTGATTTCCCAAGTAACTTTTTATTCTTGAATCCCTAACTAAGAGACATTCTTGTTTTTCTGTGTCAGCTTTTCTGCGCTTCCTTTTAGTGCTGACCTGAACATTAAAGATTCCAGTTTTCAAATCTTCTCTTATTGTGAGAATAATCAGAGTAACATTTTAGAAGAGCAGTGTTAGTCATCCTGTTTGAGAGATGTTTTTAGTTACTTAAAATGCCTGAAAAAATAATTTTGTGGTGCTCTGTCCCAACATTTTCGCTTGCCGTTCTGGCGGCGATGCCGCGTTCGGATCCAGCTCAGCGTCCCCTCCTCTCCCCCCACCTCCGACAGGGCATTCGACACGTGGACCACTTCGGGTTCATCTGCCGAGAGTGCTCAGGAGGCGGCGGCTTTCATTTCGTCTGCTACGTGTTTCAGTGCGCCAACGAAGCTCTGGTAAGCCAGATCGAGCCCTTCTTCCCCCGGAACCTGGGCTGCACGGGATTCCAGCCTCACTCGTCATTCTCTGCAAAACCACAGTCTCACTGACACATCATTGTTTGGATTTAGTTATTCTTTCATGCCTATTGCGTATCTAATTAGCACACATGTGAGACTTATTTGGTGGTGCATTTTCCATGTTCGTTATTTTCGAAGAACCCGCTCACTTGCACCTTCTGGTTTGGCAATTTTAAAAATAATGGCATTTTGAACTTTGGATCAGAGGAGTTGGCCTTTTCACTTGGTATCTAATTCGTGTTTTCAGTTTTTACCTCATCTCCTTTAAGAGCCTTGAGCATCTGAGTGGTATTTCTCAAACGGGAACCCAAGCAGCTGTGATTATTACCCACCAACCTCTGACTGAGTGTTCAGAAAATTCATGAAATACTGAGTCCTTCCACAGAGTTCCAGATGCTCGGCCCAGCTCACTTTATTTACGTGGCCTTCTCTTTGACCAGGTGGATGAAATCATGATGACCCTGAAGCAGGCATTCACGGTGGCGGCCGTGCAGCAGACAAAGGCGCCGGCCCAGCTGTGCGAGGGCTGCCCGCTGCAGGGCCTGCACAAGCTGTGTGAGCGAGTGGAGGGTGAGTAGGGGCCTGTGCGTGCTTCAACACAGCAGGAGTGAAAGGCGCCCGGGAAACCAGACGATCTGCATTCGTTGAAAGGTTCTGCCTCACAGAGCCTTGTATTGGTTACTGGGATTGTCGGTGAACTCTCAGCATACAGTCGGTGAATGTGTTCTGTTTGTCAGATGTCATGCTAGGTGCTCGTGATATGAAGATAGAAGTCTATGCCTCCTTTGCCATTTCCCCGGCGGGGGCTCTGAAGGTAGAGGAGGAATGAGGGGGAGAGGGTACAGAACCAGCCCAGTTCTTCCTCAAGGTTGCGTGAGTGGTCAGTCCTATTGGCTGCTACAGAGAGATCTAGTAACATGAGACCCAAAGAACAAGACACCACTGGGTGTCTCGATCAGAAGGTCACGGGGAACCTCTGCCAGAGCAGGCTTAATGGAGTGCAGGGGACAGAATACAGGTTGCCATGGAGTAGCAAGTGAGAAAGAGTAAAGGAAGCAGTAACTGAGTATGGACTACTGTTTCTAGAAATTTGACTTCAGGAGAAACCGTAATGTTATGATTTGCAGCTGTTGTCTATTGAGAATGCAAGCTGTGCCAGGCACTGTGCTGAGTGCTTTTCTCCACGTGTATTCGGACCCATTTCGCCCTCACTATGTCGTGGGTGAAGAAGGGCCTGTGTATTTTGCACATTGTAGGGATGAGTTGCAGATTAAAGATGTCCAAGAGTGAGCTAGTGTAAAGTAGGAATAAACTAGTCCAGCAGTCAGGCCCAGGTGGGGAAGCACCAGCTGGCACCTGCCACTGAAGCTGTCCTCCTTGTGTGGTGACGAGCCAGTTGACATTTTACAGTTGGAAGGGTTTGAGCAAATCCAGAGCCTGAGGGGCCACATGAGCCAGAATGGAGTGGGGGCGTCCCTCCCCAACACGGGTGGAAAGTCGGCCTCAGGCAGGGAGCAGCGCTGTCTCTCGGACGGCAGGGGCCCAGGGCCAAGGGTGAGGATGCTCATCAGGGGGAACCCCAAAGTGGAGGGGTCCACTCCTCTCCGTTCTTGATTTTGCATCTTGTTCCTTTTATGGGAGGATTTCTAAAACTTCTCTGTGTGTGGTTCTGAGGGGAACCACAGATGTAGGCAACCCATGCTATTGTAAAAAGTAAACAAAGATTTGCCTGTTTCTCTCTAATACTTACACGCTCTACTGGTGTAAAGAAAAATGTCCTTATTATGAAAATCTGACTCGTCTTTTTTGTAATTGTAGTAAAAATACACATGACATGAAATTGATCATTTTAACCTCTTTTAAGTGTACAGTTCAGTGGCCTTACGTGCACTCGCACTGTGGCTGCATCACCACCGTCCGTCTCAGAGCTTCGTCATCTTCTCAGACCAAAACCCATGAAACATCAACTCTCACTTTCCCCTCTCCCCAGCCCCTGACAGCCGCCATGCTTTCTGTCTCCACGAGTGTGCCTGCTCTGGGTGTTTCACCCAGGGCGGGCAGTTTTTCCTTCTGGGTCTGCCTTAGCTAGTTAGCATAACGTCGTCTTCTGGGTCCATTCACGTTGTGGCGCGTGTCAGAATTCCACTCCTTTCTGAGGCTGAATAATACTGCATTGTGTGTACACGCATTTTGTGTGTCCATTCATCTCTTGGCGAACATGTGGATAGTTGCCAGCTTTTGGCTGTAGTGAGCGAGGCCACTGTGGTTGGTAGTATACAAACACCTGCTCAAGTACCTGCTTTCAAGTCTTTTGGGAACACGCCCAGAACTGGAATTGCTGGGCCGTGTGGTAATTCTGTCTTTACGTTTTTGAGAAACCGCCTTAATATTTTTTACAGTGGCTGCACCATTTTACGTTCCCCTCAGCAGCCTCTCCACACCTCGCCAGCGCTCATTGCATTCCGGGCTTTCTGGGGGGAAACCACACTAACGGGTGTAAAATGGTATTGGTTTCCCCTTTTAAGTGAGATGAATTGACAATTTTCATCTTAAGGTTTTTGAAAGTTCATTTTCTGGCATTATAATGTCCTTTAAAATGAATAAAAATGATTAGTATTTTTAACTGTGTTTCCCTAGTTGTTACTATTTACTGAAATTACACTAAATATGTCTGGGAACAAGAACAGTTGGGCTTGAGCTGGAGATCCCCTCTGAGAGGATCACTAACCCGTTCCTCATTGGTCTTCAAGACACAGTACACGATGACGGAAGTGTCCCTTAAGAGCTTGTTAAGAACTCAGCAGTGACTTTGGCCTTGAGGATAAAGCAGATTGTGATTTCTGGGGACTGGGAGGGTTCCAGAGTTCTACTTCGTAAAGCTTCTCTGGTCTGGCTTGGCCTTCAGAAAGTCATAAACGGAAGAGTTTAATCAGGGTAGAAATTTTGCAGCTGCAGTTTTGGAATTATCACTTAATCCATCTTTCACCTGATAACACCTAAGCAAAGCAGAAAGCTTGTGTGCTATAATGTATTGTAACAGCATCCATTATGTAGGCTGGGGAAGGTACTCTTGGACTGTATCATGGAAAGCATTTCCAAAGTGTAGAGGGCACATTATGAGAGGCATCCCCAGCATGGGGGAATGCTAATTATTCATGAGCAGTGTGAGGGCCTTGCCTTTTGCTCTGTTCCATTCTAATCAGTACAGTGAAGTGGCTCATTGAAGTTCATGGCATGTTCCCTTAAGAGTGGTTCTGATAGGAACTTCTGGTCTGGCTGAGAACTCCATAAACTGTGGAGAGGACCGATGACATGGCCACAAAGAAGAAAGACTTCAAGACTGTGTTGGGTTAATTGATACAGCCACGCTGTGCCTGGGGATGTGTAAAATAGACGGAATACACGGTGCAGACCGGTGGCATCGGACACTCCGCTGTAACGTGCACTCACAACGTGGAAGAGGTGCAGCTGTGCTCGGGTCCTTATTTGAATTCCTACCACTGTTAGTAGCATTTTTATAGAGTATTTTGCTTATTTTAAAGTTCAGAGGAGCATTTTCAGAATTACTAGAATGACTTGTACTTTCACTAAAAAGAAAACAAACTATTGAGCTGGGGTTTCCTTTTGCACTCAGAAAATTTGCCTCTGGCAAACCCCAGCCTTTCACCAGAGCTCTGCCTAGGAAGTGCCTTTTCAGCAGTGACAGTGGGGAGGCAGGCTCAGCAACAGCGGGCGGTGGGGGTTGCAGGTGGGGCTGCCCTTGACTCTGGTTGCCTTTCTCTTGCCTCCCTCTCCCCATGTGAAGCCTTTGGGCATCACGTGGGGAGTGCTGCCACCTTGCTGCAGAAAGCATGCAGGAGGCACGGAAGGACTAGACCTGCCGGGGACCACCTCTGTTTTGAGTTGGGGCAGGAAGGGCTGAATGAACCCAAGCATCCCAAAGACAGTGATAAAACTTGTCGAAGCATCTCTTCACACCTGCTGAATATGAAGAATAGTCTGTACTGCCTGATTTCACCTAAGATTGTTGGAAGTATATGATTAGTCTAACTCTTCTTAGAGCTGGGGGTTTCTCTCTACCTTTGAATGTCTCATTAAACCACACAGGACGTCCTAGCTAGGATGCTTACACTATATCAGAGCCATCCTCCATATGTGGGGAGGATTTTTAGTTAATGATTCCTGAGGGCTTATGTTACTATAAATTTAAGCACTATTTTGATTCAACATTTAAGTAGTTAGTGCAGTAAAACCAACTGCTTGTCTCCTTGGCTTCTGTGATCCGACATCTTGCCAGAAGACCACCTGAATTTGCTCTGCAGAAACCCGCCTGTCCTTTCTGCACTCGTACCCCGCTGTGAACCAGTTCACTTTGGTGCTGCAGCCCTCACGTGCCAGACGACCTAACTCTGTGAAAGGGAGGCCGTGAGTGTTGAAGAGTAATCTCTGGAAGCAAACAGACGTGGCTCCGATTCTAAACTCTGTTCCTCACTTAGCTGATGACCTTGGACAAAATACTTGACTTTACCTTGCATCAGTTTTTTCGTTTTTACGTTGGGTTAATGAAAATAGGCCCACTTCAAGGATTATTTTGAGGATTAAATAAGATTTTGCATGTATTGTCAAGCAAAGTGGCACAGCAATCGCTAAAGAAACAATGGCTTTTATTTTTATGGTGGCTTCTTAAGGTTTTCTTGGCAACAAAAAAGGAGGGAAGGAAGGACTTGCTGGCAGCTGAGACTGGGTAGGGGGCCGGCATCCTTGCCACCGCCTTTTGGGAGGGAGGAGGTTGGGGGCAGGCCTGGCTGCTGTTCAGCTCCTGTCCTTGGACAAGTCACCTGGCCTCTGGATCTCCGCAAACCCATCTGTAACACAGAGGCATGATCTTCCCAAGTTCCTGCTCTAGCTTTGAGAGCTGCCCCTCCTGGCCATCCTGAGTTGTATAAGTGTGTCCACACCATTCTCCAGCTTCTGGAGGAAAAGGCCAAGCCCCTGCCCTGGGGCTCACTTGGGAGGAGAAGAGAGTGGCAGGTGGATGAGCAGAGGGCTGCCCTTGGAATTGAAGTACAGGCACACCTTGGAGATGTTGCAGGTTCCATCCAGACCATCACAATAAAGCAAGTACCATGATAAAAACGAGCCCTGGGAAGTTTTTGGTTCCCTATGTGTATAAAAGTTACGTTTACACTATATTGTGTAATAGCATTATGTCTAAAAAAAAATGTACACACCCAACTTAAAAATACTTCATTGCTTAAAAATGCTAGCCATTATCTGAGCCTTCAGTGAGTCATAATCTTTTTGCTGGCGGTTGTCACACACCTTCAGTTTGTAGAACATGCAGCGCCCTCAAAGCGCGGTAAAGAGAAGTGCAGTGAGACGAGGCAGGTCCACAACGCGCAGCGGTTCTGTTCGTGGTGGTTAGGTCAGTAAGTGCGTTCAGTCCAGATCTCATCGTGTGCAGCACTGACTTCTGGCACCGAGGAAAGGCAAAAGTAGGTTTACAGTTGTGAGTATGTGAAACACAGAGTTTACTCTTGTATTATTATTTCTTAGTCATTGGACTACTTATTTGTATTACGACTGTAAGCCTACTTGTGCCCACCCCTGTCCTGTATGTGTGGAGAAATAACTTCCTAAAATATCAGACATTAATGGGCACTAACACTATGACCTTATAACTTTTTCTCAGAACCCTCTGTATTAGCAACTAACTTGTCATAAGATTGTTAATAAGCAAGTGGTGGAAAGAGGAAAGTTGTTAGCCACGTGATTCAATTTTGTGTGAAGGAGTCTAGCATGCAAGGGAAAGATGTTGGTCAGTTTTCAAAGGAAGTAGTAGTTGTTTCTCCTTAAGAAAAGTGATTGAGGTCATATGTAAACACTCATGAGAATGTATCATTTTTGGAGGACAATGTTCTGATCGTGTGAGGTGTTCTAACATGGAGCAGTGGAGCCACGCGGGCCTGAGGTGGAGTCCAAGGCGGTGGTTCCCTAGAAATTCTGTAAGCTCTCTGGGTCTCAGTTTCCTGAACTGTAAAACGTGGGTAGTCAAAACCTCTTCATCAGGTTGTTCTGAGCATTAAGGGACAGGATGCAGGCCTCGTGTTTAAGACATCGAGGGCTTAACCAGTGAGTGTGAATCGCTGGCATTGTCATCATCACTATTAATTAGGGTTTCCACAAAAATCCCACAAAAACGTCTAAAGTGGGTGGGTAGGCCTGTAAAGAGAGTGAGTATAGAAGTGTTCGCTCTGCCTCACAACTTTTACATGTATTTTCACCTCTGCCTGTTTTCTTTCCCTTAACAGGAATGAATTCTTCCAAAACCAAACTGGAACTCCAGAAGCACCTGACCACACTGACTAACCAGGAGCAAGCAATGATTTTTGAGGAGGTGCAGGTACAGTACTGGTGTTTATTCTCCACGTGGGAAGAAGAAGAGGCAGCAGCTTGCCCGTGCCCTGTGATTTATAGAGCACGGGAAACCAGAGCTGTCACGGCCCGAGGAAGCGGCCCTGCGCCTCTCCTGGGTTGCGCTTCAACAGCTCCATGCAGGGGCCAGGTCAGAACTGCAGGTTCACGTCAGGTCTTGGTTCTCATGTGAAAACAGCAAAATCAGGGAAGCACGCCCTTAAAAATAGTCTTTGAGCATGAGAGAAAGGACATTCTGAAGGGGAAGAGCCTCAGTCTGGGGGCCACAGACCTGGACTTCGGTCCCTGAGCACTCGTCTGCTGCGAGGGAAACCTCTGCCAGCGCCTCCTCGTCCGGATGGTGGCTCTCCCTGAGTACAGGGTTGATGGAGACGACGTCTGTGTGTGGAATTGAATTGTTCCTCCTCTCCTTTATTTTTATTTTTTTTTTAGTTTTGAAAATAAATTTAGTTGATGTTGTCTACTTAGAACTGTATGTCAAACCCAAACAAAGCACAAAACACAAACCAAGCTCACGAGCTTTCTGCATTGAATCCGGAGATGTGCGTGTGTCCTTGCACTCAGACACACGGTATCTCGGGGAAACCACGCTGCGCACGCTCGCATGCCTGTGTCTGTGCGTTATGCATCTTTAATGACCCCATCAAAAATCTAATGTCTGCCATAGCACAGGGGCATTTTCTATGGCTTTCGGGCACTTTTCTCGGGGGTCAAGCACATCAGAACAAAGAATACCTCTGGGTGGGGAGGAGAGCAGCAGGGCCCAGCTAGCTCCAGACTCACTGCACCGCACAGGAAGGCTCGCTGCGCTCCCTCCGTATTGGGCAAGGCCTGCACACTGGGGGCCCAGGGTCTGTTCTCTGTTGGTGTGAAAAGTTAGAGGAGCATCTCTCTTTAATCCCATGTCACAGTGCCCTCAGTCCCCTGTTCTCCTTCCATGGTAGGATGGGCATGTGTTAGGAGGAGGAAAGCACAGGCAGACTTTTTAAAAATTTCATAATGCTAGGGACGTAATTTTCATGACTTTTAATTGGCTTTCAATTTTCTTGTTTTCTTCTGAATTGACTTGAGACATACCACTTTGTTTTTTCCTTAAAGGATCTTTAGAGTTCTAAGTACACAGTGCACTTAGGTAGATTTAATGCGATCTGTACTTGGGATTCATAAATGGATAAGTAGATGGTAATTTGCTTCTGTTACGAAGGCACTTAGAGCGGAAGCCGGGCCATCTCATCTGATGCCGGCCACTTGCTGCCTGGTGCTGTCGAGTCACTCTGGGAGCAGCGTTCCTCCTCTGACGGGAGTTTTCTTTCCAGCCAAGAGAGCACCGTGCAGCTTTCCCAAAGCAGTGTGATGCGTCAGGCTCGGGCGTGCACAGGGCATTTGTCTGTGGCAATGAGAAGTTCCTAATGGATGCTTTTCTGAGATGCTCTTTGACCTGTACAAGTTTTGAGACAATGAGTACATTATGGCAAAGAGACTTTAGAGAAAAGCAGTGACAAAGTTTTACTTTTCAACAAATACATTCAATTAGTATCCTGGGGCCCCGATGAGCTGTCCGAGAAGACTGTGCAAATTTCTGATTGGTTTAGAGACCAAGGAGAGGCACTGGGTCAGGATAGCGAGCTCAGACTTCGTCCTCCGTCATGGCCAGTGCGAGTTGTCCTCTGATGATTCAGATTTGTTACGGATCTCTCCTGTTAGTGGCTTATTGATTGTCTTGTTGAATTATTTCCTCAATTACTATTTGTGGTTTTCGTACAACATTTTGTAAACAAAGTCATTGGTTTCCTTTTAGATAGCAGTGCCGGCTAATGCATTTGAAAATCATACATTTCAAAAAGATCATCAAGGCTAAGATGGCTTTGCAGGTTCGTGAGTCCTCATGCATAGAACAGCTCATGTTTTCCTCATGCAGGCGTTCCTGGAGGGTGATTTGTTTCAGGAGAACTCTCCAACAGCACATTTTCGTAAGACAAACGTAATTCCTATTGAAATGAATGGTGCATGATTATCAAAGCATACACAATCATGTTTGTGTAAATAAATGCTTAATGCAAAGTAAAATGCACCCCAAACGGAATTGTAAAGAAGAGCCCTGGCCTGTGGCTCAGTCAGGAGCATTGTCCCGTACACCAGAAGTTTGTGGGTTCGATCCCCTGTTGGGGGGGGCAGCCAGTCGATGCTTCTCTCATCATGTTTCTCTCTCTCTCTCTCCCTTTCTCTCTCTCTCAAATCAATAAACATATCCCTGGGTGAAGATTTTAAAAAGAGAGAAAGAAATGAGGGATTGTCTTGCAGATGAAGCTGGAGTTAGCATGCTGCAAACATGCGGACTGCGAGCTCCGAGAGCACAGTTCTATGCCAGAGGGGCGTCTGGGCCTGCCAGCCCCTCTCTTCACAGGACTCCCCACGGCCACAACACTGCAGAGCCGCCTTTTGGTTTATGAACTGCTTGGCACATGTCAGTTTTGTGCATACCACACTGGGCTGATGTGGAGATGACTCCAGAGACCTTGCTGTCTTCCCAGGCTGCCGAGCCGCTGGCCGAGGGTGCCACATGCAAGCTGGTCCTCTTCAGTATGAAAAACCACGTTTAAGCCGAAGTAGGGCTAGTGAAGGAGATGTCTGATTCCTTCCATCCCAATGAGTGTATTTCAGGGAATGACTTACCTGATACTGAGTAGATGAATCAAGTCGATTTATATTCAGTAAATGTTAATAATGGGTTAAATAACAAGGCTTTTGCCCATTAAAGATGAATGGTTAGAGGAGCTTTTTTCCCCTTTGTAAAGAATATGGATCAATGTTGTTGGATTTTGCACGGTTTGAAAATTATTTCTTATTAGGATTTGATGCTGGTTTTTTAAAAAGCTGTCAGAATGTAGTGTTCAGGTGAGCATTGCCATTATAAGTAGTTTGCTCCAAGACCACAGGCTTTCTCAGCATTCTGTTTATTAGGCAGTGCTGGCAGTTTATTTTTAATTACCCAGACACCCAAGTTGCAAGCATAGAGATAAGGTTAAGACACGTGTAACAAAATCAACTTTGTTTCTTAACAGGCAATTAATTGTTTTGTTGTTATTATTCTTTTAAAAAATTGAAGTATGACATAACCACAGAAAACACTCAGATCCAGGGGGTGTAGTTCAATAAATTTTTTTACAAGGTGAATGAATATATGCCTATGCGCCCAGTACCCGATTAAGACAGAGCACTTCCGGTCCCTGGGAACCCCCCAGCGGCACTACCCAAGCCACCACCATCCTGACTTCTGACGCCGTGGACTAATTTTGAACAAGCAAGTTAATTTTTGACTACAGTGTGATGTTCCAACTCGACTCCCCATTGTTCTCCTCAGGCTTGTCTCTCTGACTAATGAATGTTTATAAAATGAAATCACCTTTAGGAAATCTGATTTGCCACTAAGGAGGGTGGTGAAGTTACATAGGAAGTAGTGGGGGAATAACACCTTGCCAATCATTTTAACTCAATAGAATGGTAGCCCCTCATTGTGTTGTTTTAAGGGAGGATTTAGTTTCGACCTTGTATGACACCATGAAAATGGTATCATTTCTCTGCTTTGCTGACTTGCCTCTGTGCCGTGTGTGTGTTTTTTTTTTTTTAAGATTTGATTTATATATTTTAGACAGAGGGGAAGGGAGGGAGAAGTGGAAACCTGAATGTGTGGTTGCCTGTCACACACCCCCTACTGGGGACCTGACCTGGCCCACAACCCAGGCATGTGCCCCGACCAGGAATCAGACCAGCGACCCTTTGACTCACAGGCTGGCGCTCAGTCCACCTAGCCATACCAGCCAGGGCACCTCTGCTGTTTAACAAGCCCCAGGAAGTGGTCTCTGGCTCTTGGTTTCAGGGTTTTTAAAATTTTTTAAATTATTTTAGATTTGATTTATTTACTAGTAGAGAGCGGGGAAAGAGAGGGAGAGAAACGTCAGTGTGTGAGAGAGACATCGGTTGAATGCCTCTCACATGCCCCTGACTGGAGACCAGGCCTGCAGCCCGGACACCTGCAGCCCAGACATGTGCCTGGCCGGAATGGAACCAGCAGCCTTTCAGCTCCCAGGCCGGCACTCGGTGCACTGAGCCCACCAGCCAGGGCTCGGTTTCAGTTCTTACTGCGCAGCAAGTGTGCTCAGCTGTAGTCTCATTTTCTGCCCATTTGATTAGTTTTTTTCATGTATGCTTTGAGGAAAAGAAAATTATTAACACTCTTCCTTATTACTGTATTCTTAGCCTTTTTTGATATTTTTGAAATAAGTGATCACGAAGAATTTCTCCAAGAAAAATACACATCTTCTTGTGAGAGTAGCTGGAAGTTTGAAGTAGAAGGAAGATACAGAAGAGGAAAGAGTGGGTCAAGTCTTGGGTGCCTGCTCCTGCCGAGGGCTTTTTGTAATTCCTCCTGCTCCTCTTTTCTGCACTTTGAAAAAATAGACTTCATTATTTTTAAAAAATGGTTTTAATTATTTCTTTTTAAGAGAAGGAGAGAAACATTGGTTGCCTCTTGTATGCCCCCAGCTAGGGGTCTAAGCCTGCAACCCAGGCATGTGTCCTGATTGGAGGTCGAACCAGTGGCCTTTTCTGTTCACAGGATGATGCCCACTCCACAGAGCTACACCAGTCAGAACTAAACTTTCTAATTTTTTTTTTAAAGATTTTATTTATTTATTTTTAAAGAGATGGGAAAGGAAGGAGAAAGGGGGGGAGAGAAACATCAATGTGTGGTTGCCTCTCAAGCGCCCCCTACTGGGGACCTGGCCCACAACCCAGGCATGTGCCCTGACTAGGAATTGACCGGCAACCCTTTGGTTCACAGGCCAACGTTCAATCCACCAGAGCTACACCAGCCAGGGCTAGACTTTATTCTTTAAGGTGGTTTTAGTTTTACAGTAAAATTGGGTGCAAAGTATGGGGTGTTGCCATATAAATTCCCACCTTTGCATCTCCCACCCAGCCAGTTTCCCCTATTAATAACATGTTGCCTAAGCGGGGTGCATTTGTTACCATAGATAATATGTTATTATTAACTGAAGTTCGTACTTCACCTTTCGGTTCACTCTTGGTGTCGTACGTCTTACAGGTTTGACAGATGTATTATGACGTATCCACCTTTAGCTATAATCCAGAATTGTTTCACTGCCCTAAAAACCCTTTGTGCTCTGCCTGTTCCTCCTTCCCTCCCTCCCCACTCCTCCAGACCCAGGCATCCGCTGATATCTTCACTGTTTCTGGTTTTCCTTTTCCACTTTGTCATGTAGTTGGAGTCATATAGTACATCATCTTTTCAGATTGGCCTCTTTCACTTAACAGTATGCATTTAAGGTTCCTCTCTCTAGGTCTTTTCATGGCTTAATAGCTCTTCTTAGTGCTGAATAATATTCCTTTGTATATAACACAGTCGATCCGTTCACCTACTGACAGACATTTGGGTTGCTTATAACTTTTGGTTATTTTAAATAAAAAGCTGCTGTAAGCATTTATGTGCAGGTTTTTGTGTGGACATGAATTTTCAACTCATTTGGGTAAATACTAAGCAGTGCAATTGCTGGATTGTATGGTAAGAGTATGTTTAGTTTTGCAAAAGACTGCCAACTGTCTCCGAAAGTGGCTGTACTGTTTGTTCCCACTGAAAATGAGTAAGAGTTTCCATAGTTTCCTGGGCTTCTAAACTCACAGATACCTGTTTCTTCCTGGGGTCAGCAGTATTACACTGGGATTGGTACTTGACCCCACTTTCCTTTATTGAAGATCTGATGGGACCTTTCTCTGGAAAAGTCTGCTTGTTGAATAAGACGTACAGTGTTAGAACATGGTTCATGGCTTAGAATCCAGGTTGAGAGCATCTCTTCTGGCCTCTAAAATATAGAAATTTGAAAGAACAGAAAGTCCTCCATAAGAACTTCCATAATACTCACTATCTTTTCCTTGAGTAACAGGAATAACTTATTTGTAAAATGATCTTTTTCTTTAAGACACGGAACGTCAGGTCTGGGTTAATGCCGCCTTTGCTTCGAAAGCCTGCTACCCGAAGGGTGAAACCGTTGCTCCTTAGTTAGCGGAGGGAGCAGGTCGCTAGAGCGTCAACCCCGACTTGGATGCTTGTATGCCTCATCCACTTCCTACACCCCGGCTTTGGTTTGAAGGGCAGGCTAGGAGTTTGGAGTGGGGAGAGGTCCAGCAGCAGGACAATGGACAGTTGTCCATGTGAAAAGGATGTATTTCCACAGTTTATAGACTTCCAAAGTTTTGTGTATCTCCAGAGTAATTCAGTTTTGTTTTCTTCTTATTCAGAGAAAATAATCATTAAATTAGATGGTCTTCTAAAAATTAATTCTGACTGATAATTTCAAACCCAGAGAATCTGGAAGCTGGAGGAGACCTGGGGGTTTACTTTGTGCACGATCTTCCTTGAACACACGGGGAAGCTGAGACTGAATGACGCCTTCAGTTACACTTCTGGGCAGCGCCGAGAACCTGCATGTCCCATTCCTACTCCCATGTACCTGGCCACGCCCCTGCCTGAAAAATGAAAGACGTGGGGATTTTTTAAATAGAAAAAAAAAAAATGAGTCTTTGCCTTGAAATTTTGTGTGGGAGTGCACGCCTTGTGGGACTTCCAGAAGGTGCTTCACGGCGAACACATTTGGATGTGCAGCCGTGAGCTTGGGTCCAGTTGCTCTTTCCCTTTCCATTTTACTACCCGTAAGAGCGTGTAAATGTATCCATAGTGGCTCTTGACCTCTGGGTGTTTACACAGACTTTGTTCTTGTCTTCTGTTTTCAAGATTGTTTATTTGTTAAATATTTTGACCATGCCTCTATCTGCCATGAAATATTTATTTTGGGTATAAGGACATCAGACGTCAAAGGTTAAACCTGGTCCACTGGCTAGCTCCAGTATATCTTTTTAAAAAGTATTTGCACTTTGGGGATCTTTGGTGCCCCCTAGTGAGATGATTTGGTAAGAGCATTAGTTAATGGATGATGGACACTGTTAGCATTTCCAAAGGGGTGGTTTAGCGGTTTTGTTGACGGTGAAAAATAAATGTAATATGTTCTTTTTTTTTTTTAAGAAATTGAGACCAAGAAATGAGCAACGAGAGAATGAATTAATTATTTCTTTCCTGAGATGTTTATATGAAGAGAAGCAAAAAGTTCACACCCATATTGGGGAGATGAAGCAGGTATGACTTTTTTTTTTGTCGTCTTATAAGTTTACAAGGCCACTGTGCAAAACAGAGTATTGAGGGTTTTATGAAGCCCTGAGACCTGTCTTCGTCCCTGTATTTTAGTTTCATGTGTTACACACAGAGGGAAAACTGGGGAGAATCCGACTGTGCTGGAGAAGGTGGGCCGTTCCTGCGTCCAGCGGCGGCGCAGCCCTGGCTCTGACGGGAGGCCCAGGGCAGAGCTCCTCTGTGACCTGACCGGGGTGCTGTGTCCCTGGGATGCACGCACAGCATCTCTCCGCACTGGGTTTCTGCCTGTGGTGGGCTTTGGCAGTCGTGTGCCTTTCCTGAACTCTCGGAGCTCAGCACAGTGTCTGACAGTGTTTTCAGTCCCGCTGGCCACTGCAGGGTCCCCCAGCAGTGACGCTAACGCCAGTACACTGTCTGTGCCTTTGGCCTTGGTGTGTGGACGTTCTCCCTTCCAGCTTCACCCTTCAGTGGCCACGGGAGTCCTGCGCTCCCCCTGCCCACTTCTGGATGGGCCGCCCAGTCTCTGTTTTCAGTTAATTCTCTAGTTCACCTTTCAGCTATTTTTTATTTCCATTGCTTTACCCCCTCATTTTTTTGCCACTAATAGTTTTTCCTTGTTCTGTTTTTTCCCCTAACGTGTTCCAACAGGAAATTGATAGTTTTGAAATGATTTGTAACCACTGGAGGGGGATACAGCACTCGGGGTGGGTGGGAAGTTCTGACCTGGGTGCTAACTCATTTTTGTGGAAGAGGGTGATGTCTTTATGCTGCAGGCACAGGTTAGTCCAGTGGAGAAATACACCTGGTTCAGTGGTTTTTTTCACGTGAAAACACCAGAGGACTGAATGTAAAAGAGAACAAGCCTCACCACACAGAACGGGCACCTGGGCAGGACCTTCTCTCGAGGTTTCTAAACCTTCTGTCGCCGAGGGGCCCGTGTCTGTGCCTGTGGAGAAGTGACCTTGACCCCCAGCTGGGTGTGGGTGTTCCCAGCATCGTCTTCAAAGGAGAGACTTCTAGATGTTTATTTTGAAACAAACAAGGACTGTGTTATTTTCTAAACATGTATTATTTTCTAAATGTGAATTGTTTTCAGATCTATTTTTTAAAATATTTATTTATTTATTTTTAGAGAGAGGGGAATGGAGGGAGAAAAGAGAGGCAGAGAAACATCATGTGTGGTTGCCTCTCACACGTCCCCTTCTGGGAGCTGGCCCGCAACCCAGGCATGTGCCCTGACTGGGAATCGAACTGGCGACCCTTTGGTTTGCAGGCCCACACTCAGTCCACTGAGCTATACCAGCCAGGGCTCAAATTATATTTATTTGTGATGATAGACATTTAAAAAATTCTTTTCTTAAAAGGTTCTTATTTTATTTATTTTTAGGGAGAGGGGGAGGGAGGGAGAAAGAGAGGGAAACATCAGTGTGTGGTTGCCTCTCACACATCCCCTCCTGGGCTCTGGCCTGCAACCCAGGCATGTGCCCTGACTAGAGATCGAACCAGTGACCCTTAGTTTCCCAGGCCTGCACTCAATCCACTGAGCTACACCAGCCAGGGCCCAAAAAAATCTTATTAGATAGGAGAGGAGAGAAAGCATTGAGTTAGGTGTATGGAGACTCTGATGGCTGGTTTAAAAGGAGAAAAATACAAGTGCAGTTTTTCTTCCATCTATGTAGGATCTACTACCCACTGCTAGTCTTTCAGCCAATCTTTTCTTCATATATCAAAACATTTGATTGTAAATGCTTCTATTTTATGAAAACTTTTGTTACAAGTTTGAAAGCAAATCCACCGCTGCTTAACTTTGTGAGTGAACAGGCATTGGGTCGAAGGCAGTCCAGTGACAGCTTTTTGTGGCTAATTCCCTTTGCTCTGGAGGCTGCCACAAGTCAGGACAGGCTCTTGTTCTTGGTAAATGATTGAACAGAACCAGGTGCTACTTGTAAGGCACCTGGCCATGGTGTGCGATATTTAGCAGGCACTTGGAATTTGTTGCATGCATCTCTTACCTCAGGTGTTGTGTGTTTCCCATGGGCCAGTCTGGCGATCATTGCTCATGCATTCATCCCTCAGCGAGCAGGTGCGAACTGTCCCGAGCGCTCATTGACTCAGAACACAAAGAGAGCTGATAGTCCCCCTTCTTGAAGTTCTAATCTAAGTCATTCTTAATGCATGTGCTCATTCTCATAGAGGTAAAACTCCAGATGACTGGGCAAAGCTGAATATAGCTCTTATCAGAACCGTTTTTCTTTTAAGCTTTAAAGAATGTATAACATTCATTGGTGAATTAGGATTTCATCATGACAAAGAAGATGCAAGGTCTTTGACCAGTAAAATAGCTGAGTAAAATTTAAAAATGCTTAATTGCAATAGGAATCAGGGGAGACAGATTAAGAGATCATCTACACCAGGGGTTATATCAGCCTTGAGGTTGCCTTCATAGGGCTGAATGTAATTTTAGGGCCATATAAGTGTAAGTGAGAGCTCAGCACTGCCACTGGGTAGAAACAAGTTGCCCCCTAGAAAAAACAAGGTGGAGGGCCTGATTTAGCCTACGGGCCTTGTGTTTGCCACCTGTGAGGTTTGCAACCTCATGGATATACCATGAGGTTGGCAGAAATTTAAAAATCTGACAATACCACGTAAAGGTGAATTCTCATGCTGCTGCTGCTGCTGGGAATATGAATTGATACCCTTTAGGGGAGAGAAATTTGCCCATATCTGGTGCAGCCAGAGATGCATAGATAGACCCAGTGACCCAGCAAGGACATTCCTAACTGCCTAATAAAAACTGTCATATGTGTGAGAAGGAGCTGTGTACCAGTGAGGTCACTGTAGTCTCCTCTGCAAAAGTGAAAAAGGGAGTCACTGTTTAACAACAGGAGTATGAGTAAACTTTTATGATTATACAGTGAAACACTGCATTCTAATCAAAGTGAGTGAATCAAAGAACCTTTGTGAACGTGGGTAAATCTCAAAAACAACACTGAAGGAAAATGCTAATTACAGAAGTGTAGGGACAAGGTGATACATTCATTCAAAGTTTTAACTACATGTAAGCCAACATACGTGTTTCACGGATACATACATATATAAAAGAACAAAATGTGAGTTGGTATGATGAACACCAAATTCAGAAGAGGGGTTATTTCTGCAGATGGAGGAAGGAGAGTGATTCAAATATGTCTGTAATTTTTTCTATTAAAAGTAGAAAGTAAATAGAATAGCTAATGGTGACATTTATTGAGAGTCAGGTAGGTTTTAAGTGCTCTAATGTGTATTAATTTATTTAAAGTCTCAAACCGGCTCTGTGAGGGAAGCTCACTGTGCATCCCCCGTCTACAGGCAGAGGAGCTGACAGGGCAGCAGGCAATGACCTGCCCAGGCCACAGCTGGGGAGAGTGAAGGGGTGCATCCACATGGGCATGGAGCTCCAGGGCCCGCGCCCCTCACTGCTCTCCACGCCCACACAGTCTTACCTCGGCCAAGGGAGCTCCAGGGTTATAGAAAACCATCGGGTAACAATTCATAGAAGTAGGAAGCAATTTATGTATGGGTTTGGTAGATATGTTTTAAAATATGCCTCTCTGTTAATAAGTAACATTAAACTTCATTAAACAGTTGGCAAACAAGCTCCATTATGTTGCCAGTCTCATACTGTGGTCGATCAAGGGACAGAAGCTCGGTGGCAGAGGAGAAGGACAGGGTGGGTGGAAACTGTAGGTGGGAGGGAAGACAGCTCTAAAGGAAGCGGTGAAGAGATGAGCATGGGCAGAGGGAATGGATTCTTCAGTTGGTAAATCTCTTCTATGTTACCCTCCCAAATGGTAAATTGTTGCTTACTTTAAAAAGCTAGTCCTGGCTACTACCTTTGTACCAGAAGCTGCACTCGGTGCTTTCCTGGCTTTACCTGTTTTAATCTCACACCAGAGCCTCATGATCAGATCTTGAGTCCAGGCTCAGTTTACAGAAGAGGAAATTGTAGCCCAGAGAAAATAACTCACTCGCCCAAGGCCAGTCAGTGAAGGACGGGCCTCTTCCCACTGCAGAGCACAAGTTCTGAACGGCTTTGCGAACTGATTCCTTCATTCTTTATTGTGCTCGGAGCAGGTAAAGCAACTCTCTGAGGCACAACTGTTTGCTGGACTGGCAGCCATGTCCCTGAGGAGCAGGGGAACAAGGTTGCAGGTAGAACAATGGCCAGGGGTCGGAAGGATGCATCCAAGAGATTTTTCCTTCCTTTAAAAAGGAAAAAGAAAGGACATTGTAAGTAACTTAACTCTTCGTTGTTTCACTTTTTAGGCGACACAGGTTCCTGCAGAGAATATTGGAAGTGAATTACCATCCAGTGCCACCCGATTTAAGCTTGATATGCTGAAGAACAAAGCAAAGAGATCTTTAACGGAGTCTTTGGAAAGTATTTTGTCTCGGGTAAGTAGCACATTTTCTCCAAATTTAAGTTAAATCACTTTTTAAAAGAACATAAGATTTGATTCATTGCTTTTATTCTATCAGTGCCCATCACAAAGTATAGAAGGTGAAATCTTTTTAAATGCCCTTTCAATCTTAGAACAGTGCTATCTGCACTTGAAATTTAGTTCTTACCTTGGTCTGGGTTAAACAGATTTTTTGTGTTGTATTGTGTGTAGTCAACCTGATGGAATTTTTGTCTCCCCAAAAGATGTTATTCATTGGCTAGTTCCTGTAAAGGGCACAGGTTAGATACCCCCAGGCGTGGGCTCTGTTCTCCCCGGTGTCACTGGGTGCGATTTAGAAAATCCAGTCCCAGTCAGCGGCTCGTGTTCTGTGCCTGGAGCTCTCTGCAGCAGTGTCAGCAAACTACAGTTCTCGGGACAGGTACCACCCACCTCCTGTTTTTAAATAAAGCTTTATTGAAACACAGCCACGTTCATGTATTCACTGGTCGTTTGTGGCTGCTTTTGTGCAGAGTTGAGTAGTTGCCACAGGCACCAGAGGCCCACAGAGCATAGGAGATTTGTTTTCTGGCCCTTTACAGAAAAAGTTTGTAGACTGCAGCTCTATAAGAATAGAAAACAGATACATAGGCACCAATCTGAGAGTTTTTAAGGAAATTTCTACCCCCCCCACTTTGAATGAGTGTAAGTACCCTTGATGGCACTTTTCAGAAAGCAAAGTTTGAGAACCTTTCTGGAGCTTGCAACATCTTCCTACAGTTCTTTTGGATTTTGTAACACACTCCATTTAAAAAGCTTGCTGTATTTTTGTAGTTAAAGTTTAGTTTTATTTTGTTTGATGATGTTTCTGGGAATTCTGCAGCATCCTTTGAGATTGTTAAAAGCAGTCCATTCACAAAGCCAGGGTGGGGGTGGCTGTTTCTGAGAGCTCCCATGTGGACAGAGTCTTGTTTGAGTGTCATACAAGGAGGTTTACAATGACTTGTGACTTGGGAGAGAGCTGTGGGGCATGCTTCCATTGCCAGGTGATTTTCTTCATAGACGAACTGTCTCTTCTTCCTGCCTATTAAACCTGCCAGCTGACTAATCCACAAGGTGTTTGGAGCGTTTAGGTGGGTGTGTTATTGTAGAAACAAAAGGACAGAAATGTTGATTGTCTCAATGTACACATGTGCTCAGCAGTGTTTCTCGGAAGATGCATTTTTCCTCAGTGTATTTAAATAAACCCAGATGCTTCTAACTGATGCCTTTGCAGAAGCCTCAGGGGTCATAACTCAGCTGCCTTTTCTTTCCGTAGGGTAATAAAGCCAGAGGCCTTCCGGAACATTCTGCCAGTCTGGATCTGGACAGCTCCGTGCCCAGCACATTAAGCAACACCAACAAAGTAAGCACATTTTTCTTTATGGGACATCCTTAAGAAGCTAGCAAATAGGTCTTGCTCATCTTCTCTCTTCAAGGCCCGTCAAAAGGGACAGAGAGGCCCCATAGCTCCACCCAGGAAAGGTTCGGAGCTTCCAGACTCCGTGGTGCCCATGGAAGGCTGGTCATGCAATTTGCATAACAAAGCCGATGGCTGATCCATGAACAGAGAAACAGGATCATAGATTTAGATCACTAAGAGCTGACTTATCACATAGCCACCGAGGAATTTCTTTTCTCCAGTAGATAGTCCACTATTAAAAATAACTGAAATTGGGCAAACCGTGAAGTGGGTTTGTGAATGGTGAGGAGTATGCAGCTTCAATTCCTGAAACTAACTTTATCCTCTAGCTGGCTCTGTGATTATGACTAAACGTTACTGTGTTAGTCAAATAAGCAGCTAAGCCTCAGCCCTCGAACCTGCTGCCAAGCACAGCTTTGTGATGATGACCCAGCCAGCGGTTCTCTTTGTTAGCAAAGCTGTGTCCTTGTTTTAATTTCTTGCTGTCTAGACATTGACATGTATGCGTGTTTAAACTTGGTCAGTTCAACTTTGAACCACCAAATTGTGGATCTCGGGTTTTGTGCCCAGGAAGTCAGCGTTCCTCCCACTCCCAGAGGGCTACAGGTTTGCTAGAGAGGGAATTTCTGTGGTGGCCAGCTCCTTACTGCAGCGACTCCAAGTTCTGCCAAAATCCCTGCTGGGCTTCTGGCTTTAAAGCTTTTTGATCATAACCAACACATTTAACATTGCAAAACAGTCACAAATGCATACACATACGCTCACAAAATCAGAATTTATCCAAACAACCAGTGAAGGCAAAATGCAGTGGAATGTTGCCTCCTCTGCCCTGCATTCACTGCTTCTGATTCTGTGTCGTGATTCGCTTCCAGTTTGGAAGCGTTGTGGTTTATCTGACATTTGGAGATGAGCAGACACAGCCCCTGTCCTGTAGGAACTTGTCTGGTGGGACAGAGAGACAGATCCACAGGGAACCCCGGCGTCCAGTGGAGCCTGGTGGGAGCCCTGAGAGTTCGAATAGGAGACAGGGTAACTCAGCAGTCACACGAGGCAGGATGAAGGGAGTTATTTTTGCTCAGTGGAACCAGAGAAAGTTCGGGGAGGGGGATCATGATGCTTTTGAATTAAATCTTGAAGAGGAGATGGTAGGAATGGTACCTGTGCAAGTGGGCAGGGGAGAAGGTGTTTCAGATATATCAGTGCAGATAAAGTCACTGTGAAGAGAAATTCATGTTGGTCAAGTGGCTCTTCCAGTAAGTCTTGCTTGTTTTTTATTCTTCTTCAAAACACCCATCTAGGAATATACACATAGTTTGAATTTCTAGAGTAATTCTAAGAGCAGTGCAACTTTTCAGAAGCCACCCGTGTGTATTGCATGTGTGAGTGTCTCTATGTGCAGCTCCTTGCATCTTCTTTTCACCCTGAGGTTGAGAGAGAATCGTGCAGGCACACATGTAATGCAGTTGGATCTCTTCCAATAAATCGTTCATCTAGGAGTTTCAGAGAAGCCAAACATCCAAATGGTCCTTTCAGGTGTAAAATTAAGCCAAGGGTTGGTTAGCGCTCTCACGTAATTTGGAAGGATGTTATGGAGAATGGGGATGAACAGGTTTTCATGATGGAGATTGTTTGCTGTGATGTGTTGTCTTAGAAAAAATTTTAAGTCCTTACATGAAAAGGATCTTTGGAACTGTAGAGTCCTAAAGAATAAAAAATGCTAGTTATGTTTAAAATATCATTTTGTGGTCTGTTGAGAATTAAGCTTTTCTTATCTAATTCCTACAAAATTAAGTGTATATAATCTCTCCCCTCAATAAGTTTATTTTTTAAAATTAAAATCCTTAGTATGTATCATCTAAAAGGTACTCAGTTATATAGCAACTGAACAGAGAATTTAGATTCTCCAGTCCACCATTAGATGCGTTCATTTCTTTTTACTCTTTTTATGTTGATTTGTTTATCCCTTGTAGCAATTTCAGTAGAAACAAGCTGGTACACTTCCTTTTAGTTCATATTTTTTGATTTGAGAAAAATAAACTGGCCACCGACCAGCTGCTGGGCGTGCAGTGCTAAGCACCGGTTTGCGTGGTAGTTCATGCTGCTGAAAGGGTGTGTATTTTGAAAGCCCACAGTGTTGAAATACTGTCATGATTCTCAGTGAATGTATGAGTACCCACTCAATAAGTTCACCGAATGCCTAGCAGAACAATAACTTTCAATAATTTTCGAAACATTTTACAGTGGACAGATTACATTCGGTTGTATTATCCTGCTTAATTCTGAAACCCAGTGGGGTGAATTTTTACTACACATGTGAGGAAGTTGAAGTACAGAAAGAAGTTAAGTACTTGGCCTTGAATCGTAGCAATAAGTGCCTAGGGAAAGATTTCCCATATTCTAAGAATAATCTAGGATATGATTTTGAACTCCAAAGATTATCATATTAAATCTTAGCATTAGACCAGATTCAGAGAGAGCCTTAAAATGTGGGTGTAACACATATGAACACACTTGGCAGAAAGAACTTGATTTGTTTAAACAATGCAGACAAGTTATACAACCTCAGTACACTGCGTGTAAGCAACAGCACAGTTGTGTTTTCCAGAGAGAGGAAGCTGTTTTGGTTTTGCTGAGAACAATTATGTGTTACAGTTTCTGTCCCTCATGCTTGCACTTGGGCCGTTTCCCCTTGGTCGCACACACTGGCATTTTGTCTCTGACAAGCTGGCGTTTAACAGGCCTTTATTTCCATGTGTATTTTGGTGGCCTCTAGGTGGCATCATAATCAGATGTGCTTCTGTGTTGAAATGCGTTCCTGCTACTGGGGTTGGAGATTCGTATATCCCACAAGTTTCCTGGGTTGCGTCTGATCCTCTATGTGTTTGCCGCCAGGAGCCGCCCGTGTGCGAGAAGGAGGCCTTGCCCGAGTCGGAGAGCAGCTTCAGGCTCCTGGGCTCCGACGACGACCTGTCCAGTGAGTCGGAGAGCCACCCCGCAGAAGAGCCCGCCCTGCTCTCACCCCAGCAGGCTTTCCGAAGGCGTGCGAACACCCTGAGCCATTTCCCTGTGGACGGCCAGGAGCCTCCGGAGCCCGCCCAGCGGTCTCCAGGGGTCTCACAGAGGAAACTTACGAGGTATCACTCAGTGAGCACAGAGACACCTCATGAACAAAAGTAAGATTTGTTTAAGATGTGAATTTGTTGTGTAAAATAGCTGGGGCATACCTGTTACTAACCAGGTATGTGCATGCCATGTGTATTTACTGGGCAAAGAGAAATCTGAGTCAGGGGTTACTCTTGGCTTAAAAAGCTAACACTGGAAGCAGTGACTCACTCTTCCCACCCAACCCCCTTGGGACACGTAGATATGGGAGGTACTTGTTACTTACTCAAGTAGCTGGTCCAGGTGTTGTGAAGCAGCAGGTAAAACTGAGCAGACATGCGTACGAGTCACTCCTCGAGCAGTGTGAGAGGCAGCATCGACTTTGGCACTTGGCTTCTGCTTTGAGGAAGAGTGGGGAGGGGGCCAGCAGGTGAGCGCGCTCCCTTGGAACCCTGGGCCTTTCTCCCTCGGGACTTACAGGTAGCGGTCCTCCCCGAGTGACGTGAGGCCTGCCCTGGCCGTGGAGGCCTCGTGTCCTGGTCCCGGCTCTGTCCTGAATGGGCTGTGACCTGGGCAAACGTGCTGAAATCTCTCTGTGACAAATTGGAATAGATGGTTTCTAAAGTCTCCGTTGGTATGAGAGTTCTAGATTCTTCTAAGAGGATTTAGTCATTTTAATACTTGGGCTGTAATTGGAATTTCCTGGTTACAGACATGGGTAAGCAATACAGAACCAGAAGTTCTGTTAGGGATCCCTTCCAGGGTCCCTTGGCAATGCATTTGACCCTAAGTGTCAGAGACCATAAGTGCACAGAGTTATCTTTAAAAATAGTGTTAAAAAACCTTTTTAGTCCCTCACCTCACAAACCTGAAGTAGGGCCACACCTAGCGACAGTACTTCCTCTGACTGGCGACAGCTGAAGCCACAGGACATGTGTGTCACTTCAGGTCATACACGGATAATGGACAGTCCACGTGGGGGGGGGTGTCGAGAAGGAAACCACCCTCAAATGACACAGCAGGGCTCTCAGCTTTGTTTTCAGTCCGCTATTGAAAGCGGTGTGGCAGTTCTTTGGAGTTCGGGGCATCCTTCAGAAGCTAACATTTAATTACATGATATGCCAGAGACAAGCAAGGTTGGAGGCCTCATGAGGGTCTCACCGTGTTTCTCACAGCCCATGTACACACTAGGCACTTCCACCCTGCCTCTCCACTGCGTTCCCACCCCTGTCTCTGGCATTTTCAGTGGGAACTCACACATTCCTGTCCAGAGAGTCCTCGCTCTCTGGCTGAGAGAGGTGTTTCACACAAGGCAGAGGTGGTGGACCCGGTGTCCCTGACAGTGCGTTTCCCTTCTGCCCTGCGAGTGCAGCTTCCCTGAGCTTCCTGCTGGACACAGGTGCCGAGAGGAATGGGGAGATGTCCCCTCCCTCCCCCTCCCCTCTCTTTCAAACCTATTTTGCTTTCTTCACCCCTTGTGAACTCTTCTCTTATGTACAGGAAATGAGACATTGACATTCAAGGCAGGTTATTGTTCATTTTCAAGAGAAGTGCATTTTACAAACTGGATTTTGTTTTGCTTTCCTTCACTTTTGTTTAAATTAAAATTTTTTTTTCCTGTCAGTTCCTAAAAAGGGAATAGAAGAAACAGTACATTTGGGTGCGGAGACATGTGGGAAATGACAAAGAATGACCTTTCACAATACTCTTTTTTTTTTAACTAAAAACTACCTCTGCCAGGGAGAGTCGGATGCGCCTCTCGCCTGCTCTTTTGTGTCCTCCGAGTTCGCCTCCGAGTTTCCACCCTCGGCCTCTAAATCCTGGTGCTTTCTCTCTAATTGCTATTTAGTGCGAACCATCCACCTGTTGGCGAGTCTAAAAGTTGCTCAGGTCCTTCAGTTCCTGCTCCTCCTCCTCGTCTTAACCCCTCCGCCTCCTCACCAAATTTTTTTAAGTACCTAAAACATAACTCGAGTGGAGAACAAAGTGGGAACGCTGTGCCGAAGAGGTGAGCACACTCGCATGGCAAGTTCAGTGTCGTTTGTTTCCCTGGGAGGGCCACCCAGGGAGGATGCGCCGAGCGGGGAGCCGGGGCCACGCACAGGCACGTGTGTGCACGCACGCACGCACGCACGCAGGGGCCACGCACGGGCACGTGCGCGCGCGCACGCTTGGTGGTTTTGTTTTCAGTCTGTCATTCGAACTGACTTAGTTTTACTGTCGATTCATTTCCACAACATTGAATTTCTTCAAAATTAATTTTCTCAAAAGGTCTTGATGGCCTGTGGGTTTTGTATGCTTGTTTCCACATTGCCCCGCCCAGTTCACACACACACACACACGCAAACAACACTGCATCCGACCGTGTATGCCGCGGTGTGCGGCACATCAGAAACTTCCTCCTCAATTTAGGAACATTATTTTTCCCATTTGAAAGAAAGAGTCATTTTGGAAGATGGACTGATTTTGTTGTTTTGGTTTTCTTTTATCGCAGTAAGAGTGCTTATCAAGAATATTTAAAGTGTGCAGCACAGTATTATCTCTAGGCACGACGTCGTATGGCAGATTTCTAGCATTTATTCATTTTGCATAACTGAATGGATGGGTGTTTTTAAATTAATTCAATGATTCCATTCATTTAAAATGGAATTGTATTAACTGAAAAATGAAAGTTAAATCTCATTTTAAACTTTTTAATTTCTTACCTGGTTTAATTTTTTTAGCATTAAAACTAAGATGTTTCTTTTATTTTGAAGCTGTTTTGTACTTTGTATGTTTGTATTTCTTTATCCTAAACTCTTTTTTCAACCAAACTCTCAGCATCTCCTACCGTAATGCCCTGCGGAAAAAACTTCATTCTTCTTCCTCTGTGCCAAATTTTCTAAAATTTCTGGCTCCTGTAGATGAAAATAACACCTCTGACTTTCTGAGCACAAAAAGGTAGGGTCTAATTTAGATATCTGAAGCCTAGGTAGAAGTGTTGAATTATTAATTAGATAAACAGGGATTTTCCACTGTTTGTTTGCCATTTAAAAAATCATTGTAGCTAAATCTATTGTATCTTCTTTCTTATACATTTTCCTTACTGAATGTCATTTTTAAAAATGTATAGTCAACCTGTTCTTTAATGAGGATTGGTTTATTAATATGTTGTTATTTTCAGAAGATTAAAGAAAGTTTAAGCAGTTCTCTAAGTGAGAGCTGTATGTGGCTGGGTGTTAGATCTGTAAGTTCAGGTGATTGCTTAGTTGTGTGTGTGTGTGCATGCATGATGGACAAAAGTAGGTTTACAGTTGTGAGTACACGAAACAGTTTATCCTCGTATTATTATTTATTAATTGTTGTATTATCTTCCATATGAACGACTGTAAGCCTACTTTTGCCCACCCCTGTATGTATACACTCAGTTGTAAATGGTAAGGGCTTCCCCAGGTTGTCCTGCCAACAGGGAGAACATTACCGTGATTAGATGTTATTCATGTATGTTGATAAATACACTGTGTTTTATAGTTTTAAAAATACAAATGTTAAAACAGTAGTCATCTGTAAGTGACCATGTAATTATTGCCTTGATGGTTCTGTGTCATTTAACTTTTTTATTTTTCGTGGTGATCTGTGGAGACAAGACGAAGGCTTGTGCTGAGATGCTATTCCCACAGACAGACCAGGGAAGACTGGGGCCCTGGTGACAGCGCCCCCTATAGGCAGTTTCTCTTTTTAATGAAGTGGCACCAAGAGAGGCCCAACTAGTAGCTAAGAGTTTGTTAAGCATATTTCTTAATACCTTTTACAATAGAAATAATCTGGGGGCACGTAATCTTACCCTTTTTACAAAAAGCGTCCTGTAAGAAAGCAGTGCTTTAGGAATGTTGATCCAGTTTGTGTTTGATTTAACTTCTGCAATTATCTCATTATATTTTCTTTTACAAAGATAATTTACAATATAGTGCTGCTTTTAAGAAACAAAAAGGTCAAACTAAAACACCTCTATATCTCCTCACCAGCTATAAACCCATTGTCTTGTAATTTCAGGGACTTTGAATGCGAAGCCAACCCTCTCAGTGACGCCAGCGGGACCCCCGTGAAGACCCGGAGACACTCGTGGAGGCAGCAGATATTCCTGCGAGTGGCCACCCCGCAGAAAGCGAGCGACTCTCCCAGCAGATACGAAGGTAAGGCCCACTCCAAAAATAAACTGCTAGATTCTGGCATGAGTTTGACCTGTAACAAAGGAACGTTGGTGGAAGAAGAGGTAAAATGGGATTTCAAGTCTCAGTCCCCTGATTTTAAAGCTTCCTGGCTAAGGAGCTCAAATGGCCATGCCAATCACTGTTTTCAGAGGACCCCCAGTCCCTGTGACAGGACGCAGCAGCCAGTAGCACCTTGTGTTACAAACGACATCTCTGCCAAGCTCCCATGACCGCTCTCCACCCTGCCCACAGGAATGTTGAGAGGCTGGGCCTGACATCCCCCTACCCTCCTTCCCGTCTCACTGTGTCCCCAAGCTTGTCTGTATTCCCCGTCTGGGACCGAGGTGTAGGTTTTCCTGTCAGTCCCACTACTCCAGCCACACCTGCAGCGCTGGGTGGGGGCCGTTGCTGCCACTCAGCCTGGGGTCGTGGGAGGACTGACCTGTGTCCCTTCATCCTTCTCGCGCCCCTAAGGAAATGGAGAATATGCCGAAATCTGCCTTATGTTGAGCCGTATTGTAGAAAATGAATTTAAATGTGGTTCTTTTGACTGAAATTAGTGTTTTTTCTGCATAGTGATATCATAAACTTTCAACAGGGTTTACTTTCTTTAATGTTCTATCATCCAGAAACATTTTTTCCTTAAGAAAGTGAAGCAGAAAAGTAGACCTCCAGAGATCACTTGAGTTCCTCAGGTGTTTGGTAGAGTGCATGGTCCCTTGACACACTTCTGCGTGTCCCTTAGGATGCAGCACAGGCTAATCCGGGAGTTTTCCGGCCAGGCTCCGGCACCTGCCTCGGGGGAGAACCCCTTCCCTGACTCCCCCTCCCCCTTGCTCTCCTCACCTCTCAACCCCCTGTTTGGTTTCCTCTCTTTTCCCTTTTCTTTCCCTCCCTCCCCCAGAGTCCTCATTGATGTTTAATTTTTAAAAAATGCATCCTTTCCCAAATTGAACAAGAGCCTGGTTTGGGCTCAGCCAGTTTTGTGACATAAATCATATAACTCCACTCACACGTAGTTCTTTTAACTGTCTCCCGTCCAGGTGGTAACCAGGCCCGGCCCAACCCTGCTCAGCTTCCGAGATGAGATGAGATAGGGCATGTTCAGGGTGGTGTGGCTGTAGACTAGTTCTTTTCGTTGTAAAACAGTTATTGTAATGTTGGCTTTTCCTAGCTCATGGCATTACATTGAATTATACAGGTGGAAGCACTTTGGAAACCTGAAGGCACGTCAGCTGTACAGTGATGACGTTGTTAGGTCACCTTCGCTGAGGCCGGAGCCTGGCGTTAGGCTTTCTGTGGCGCTGTTCCCCAGCAGGACCCACAGAGAGGCGCGCTGAAAATTGAGTTATCTCAATTTGTATAAACTTAGAAAATTTAGTTTTAAAGGTTTCATTCATTATTGTGTTGGAGAAAACAGTGGCCCAGATTGTGTGACCCAGTTCCCTCCTTTGTGGACTTATAAGCCAAGCCTGCTAGGGTGGAGACCGTAGAAAATCCTAGGGTGAACTGTGCGTCAGGGGGTGTCTCCTTGCAGGTAACACTGGCCTCTAACAAGATGGCTGGTGGCTTCTGCAGGCTGCACCCCAGCACCTTTTTCTGAGTTTTAGGAAGGGTGGCGAGTTTCTGGTCTGGCACTGGCATCTCCCAGTGGGCGTCTGAGGGCCTGGGTCAGAAAGCTGGTACTGGCAAATGTTTGCATCTTGGCGGAACCTGTGTTAAAACAGGCGAGCAGAATGTGCTGTGGGCTGTGTGGGAGAGTGTGTCCTTCTGTCACCGCAGTGGGTAGGAGCATCAGAAAAGGGAAGAGGAAGGGAGCCATGATTTGTGTCTGCATTCCCTTTTGGAAGCTTTTCTTTTTCATTGGTGTAGCTTGGGAATAGTGTAAGAGATGGGTATTTAACTCCACATTCCATTCTTACTCATGATATTCACTGTTGATAGGGGTGTTTGGTGCATGCTGAGCTGACTGACCTAGTTGGGCAGAAGCTGGGAGCGAATGAGATGGGACGATGGGTTGGTGTCCCAGACTGAGATCCGAGTGCTTGGTGTTGCCCGTCCCTTGATGGCACTGGTACTCAAAGGAGTACTCAAAAGTGGACACCGCTTCCACCTGACTGGGCCCCTCGGTCACTCATGAAGGTGGTGTAGAGCTCACTCTGGGTCCTCCTCTGAAACCCAGAGCAGAGTGACTGCGTTCCAGTCCCAGCTTTGCACATCAGGAGCCTGGCACTGCGGGGAGCTGTCTACATTTCTTACCTGTGACCCAGGACTGATTATATCTCTTGCCATACTGATTGAGATAAGAGAACATGCCATTTTTACTGACTTTTTTTTTTAAAGAAAAGCTTTCAGAATTGGTAAGAATTAGAAAGAGTCAGTGAAGAGAATGTTTTAGTATAAAGTCACTTCCCACTGTGTGGCTGTCTGGCTGGTGCTCCCAGCCCTATGCTGCACTTACCTCCACCTCTCCACTTGGGGGCGCCGTGGAGCCACCACACTGCCTGCACCTTCCTGCCTGGTGGAGCCCTTCAGTGGAGCTACTGTGCTGAGGGGCTAGATCTCTCTCACCGCCACTGTGGGCAGGATGGCCGTGCCTCCCTCTTCCCTTGCCACAGTGGAGAGGCCCACCTGCTGCAGCGGGCTCTTCCTCCCAGGTCTTTGGTAACGCCCTGTTGCGGGGGTTGGGGGAGGGTTGTGGGCAGAGGTGGGGAGGGTGTGGAGAGGAGGGACCTGAGGGAAGCCCAGGAGGGGGAACTGAACTGTGATTTGTGGCTGAAACAGCAGAACAGCAGTAACAGCCAGAGAGGAGTTTCGATGTTCACAAACAGTGCCCCAGTACCGCTGTAGCTGTACTGCACAGGGAGTCGTCGTGGAGATTGAAGTGTGATTGTACATTTAACGTAATTAAATGTATAATGTGCAATGATAATGCATTGAAAACACTGTGGCTGGAAATGTACGAAGGCCATGGATGACTGTAAAACAGCCCATCCCATTTGAGAACCATTCTAAGTTTTCCAACTTTCTCAGGTTGAGCCACATCCTGCTCCCTGTCTCCCCTGTCTGTAGTTCCACTCTGGTCTCTGGAGCCGCACAGAAGACACTTTCTCCCACTCCCTGTTCTTCCAGTGGCAGAGGGTCCTGGACACCACTGCTTGCTTTGATGCTCCTCTCCGGGCTAACTGCCACCATCCCTTAGCCCTCACACAGTTTTCCTGTTGGGCCCCGGCATCTGAGCGCACTCTGTCCCTATGTTGGGAACCTGCGCCCAGCACAGCGCTCCCACGGCCTCCAGCCCTTGTGGGGGGTGGGGGCCCTTCTCCCACCGAGCGGCCACTGTTCTCTGAATACAGGGCCACCTTCAGAATCCGTCTCTGCTCTAGGTCACCATCTCCCATTCTTGACTCTTACGGTGTGTTGTTGCTTGGCCATGAACTCTTACTTAAAAATTAGACTGATTTCTAGTTGCACTTGGGAAAAGGTTTTTAAAAAGCTTTTTTTCCGGACAGTTTGTGCTTGTGAATTGTTACAGCATCAGTCTCAGCAGTTGAAGTGATTGTGAGGCTTGATTCTCGTGGCCCGTGTGTTGTGGAGAGCTGTGTGAAGCTGACAAGCCACGTCCTCTGTGTCTTTAGGTGATTGATGGAAGGGCTGAGTGGGACAGGGCCGTGCCACCGGTCCTAGTCCGAAATCCTCACTGAGCCTCAGGCCCCAGACTTCCCAGCTGCCGGCAGGGAGGTGTCCTGAGAGCACCCAGGCAGTGCGGGATGGCTGTCACAGTGCACCGGCCACGTTTGCTCTCCGACAGACTCCCACCAGGGCCCCTGGCCCTCCCCACATGTGCCGCTGCTTGAGGCTTTTGCACAAGCTGTCCCTTCTGCCTGCAAGGCTCTTCTTCCCGTGTTCCCGTGACTGACTGCCTCACTTGCTTCAGGTCATTGCTTAAAATCACCTTTTCAAAAAGCCTGTCTGGCCACTCTGTCTCATCGCACCTCCCCTCCCGTCACCAGACATTCCTAACCTCCTTCCCCTGAGCTCCCCCCCAGCCCTTCCCTCCACAGCGTTTACTTACTCATTATCTTCATCATCAGGCTCCTCCTGTCTCCACAGGCTTTATGACTTTTCAAGGAGGGCGAGTAAATTGCTGAGATTCTTCTTAACTCCTTCCTCTTTCTCCTGTTTCTCTATACATTTGTCCTTTCTGCTCCCTTGTTGAAATTAAGAAATGCTGTCTAAATTTTTTTCTATTATATTGTGGGTGCTCTATGTATGAGAGAGGGAGAGGGAGAGAGAATAAAACCATTTAAGACCAAATTGGTATAATAATCAATTATTAGGACCTTATTTATGGCACGTGCTTTGCATGCATTATTTCCTTTCATTCCCAGTCAACTTTATGAGGGTCAGCATTTTTATTGCACCTGTTTTACAGATGAGGGACTGAGTCATGGAGTGGCTTAAGTCACTTTCCCCAAAGCTCATGCTCAGGCCAGGGCTGCAGCCAGAGATGACAGCGTGACTGCCTGGGGTGGCCCTGCCAGTGCATGTGTCCTGCTCCTCCCGTAGTAGGTCCCACGTGGGCATCTGTGTCAGGCGTGCAGTCTCAGTCTGTCCACGGTCTCCCTGGTGGCCCGGCACCAACACACTTCTGAGCATTTCAGTGTGTTGCCTTCAGTCGGTTCCCCGCCCTCCCTCCCTGTCAGCACTGGGACTGGAGTGTGCCGGGGAGGGCCGCTGATTTCCTGATATCCGTGAATTTTCTTCTCTCAAATTGGGCGTCTTCATCCGTTGTCCCTTTCTGCCCCACCGTGTTTGAGGTGCGGAGATGGCAGCGTCTTCTACGGTGGCTGGGGGCCACTCGGGCCCACACTAGGTCTGTTTCCCCAGTGGCCGGACCAGGGCGCAGCCCCGGTGTCTGCCGCCGGTCGCCTTGGTCCTCCTGAGCTCTGGCTTGGACAGGAAGGACATAAGAGTTTTTT